GACCATAAAATCCATACCAATGCAAATTATTCATATCTATATCATATCCCCCTTTAAATGTAAAAGAACATTTATAAACAATATTTGGGAACATGGGCATAGTTTTTTCTCTCCAAACTGCTTCCTGCTGAATAGGGGCGTCGTTAATTAGGTTGTTCATGATATAACCTGTTTGCTAGTTTCATCTCAGTTGGCAATTGAGCGAAGCAGTTTTTTGAGGGTGTTCACAGCAACCTTTCAGGAGGGCGTGGTCTGTCATACCAAATTGGAATAGTAGAAATCCATAGGGTCTGGTCCTCTGTGAAAACAAAAGAAGACCCTCTCCAAAGCATCATATCCTTAGACCCAAATTCTGAAGTCATAATATCCTTATATCCATTCTGGTTTAGCTTGGCAGCCCATGTAATGAAATGTCTCTCTGTACTTAGCTCCTTCACAGTTAAAAATTTTAAAGAAAACGCAATGTACATAATCCAGACTCTCTGTGAATTTTCCATTTTTACGTGGCTTATATTTCTTTATTTCTCTTAATCTATAACTATCTGTTCTTCTGTACTCTGTCTCTTTAAAGACTTTACCCTTTCTCTTTTTAAGACATTAACTTTTTAATATTCTTTTTCTTCTCTTTCCCAAGCCTACGTACATTCATCCAACAATGTGATCCATAAAGGTCTTTTATGTCTGAATCTGTCCTATTGTGAATCTGTAATTTCTTCATTATCCAGGAGCATTTCTTAAAATGTTAAGCACTTCTTAAAAACTTAAGTTGCACCATGTACAGGTAATACGGGACTGCCTGTGTCCTGCCCAGTCTAGACCTTAACTGCGCAGTTTTAAGGTAATTACAGTAGTTCCTGCCTGAGACCAGCACAGTTCAGCATGGTGGAGCTGAGCCAAGCTGCTCCTGCCTCAGAGCCATTTGGTGTCCCTGAGCCACACACAGTTCCAGGTACACAGCAGTCCACATTGTCATCAAGCAAGCCATAAAGCTTTACTCCAAATGCTCCATTCAAAAGCTCTGTCTCCCACAGGAGCCAGACAGAGATCACAATGGCGGCACAGCCCAGAAAGCCGGCATTTTAAAACAGCCAGGTTTTTCCTGCTGCCGAGTCAGGACAATTTCTTTGCGGCACGCAACCCAGAAACAGCAAAAAGCTGTCTTAAATTCTCTCTCTCTCCTTTTTAAGCCCTCTCAGGTTTTTAAGTGGATTTAGCCCATCACGTCTGGGCGCCATCTGTTGAAATAGGAGCAGAGGGGCTGCGTCCCCGGCACCCAGCTGCCCGCATGGCTAGTTTATGCCCAGAAATAATTACACACAAACTGTATTCATTCAAACACTGTCTGGCCCGGCTAGTTCCAGTTTCTTATTGGCTAGCTCTTACATATTGTTCTAACCCATTTCTAATATTCTGTGTAGCCCACGAGCTGGCTTACCAGGGAGGATCTTAACCTGCGTCTGTCTGGAGCAGGAGAATCATGGCGACTCTCTCTCAGCTTCTTTTTCCCACAATTCTCTTCTGTTTACTCCACCTACCTAATTTTCTGTCCTATGAGGGCCAAGGCAGTTTCTTTATTATTACAAGACTCACCTCCATCAATCGTCCTTATACTTTACATTTATTTCTACTTTTGTTTAAGGTATTACTTATACAGATCATACCTATACAGCTTGCTTAATTATGAAATATGAAAATTTTAGTCCTTATAAGCTATACAAGATAATAAAAAATACA